CGTTTCTATTAATTCGCATTCAATCGTGTCATTTACAATTTGCAGTCGCACTTCACACTTCAGATAACATTATCATATTGCATGGCGCTTCTTTGTTCGCTGCTTCTGCATTGTTCTACGAAAATACTCTCTCGATGCTAGTAAATTATTCACGTGAGTCTATATGAGTAGTGACCGATCACTTGATCGCTTTAAAGTAGCGTTCATTCAATAATTGAAGCGTTTCATGCATGCTCGAGAGCCTCATAATCTACGCTGTAAGTAAGTTGGTTTGAATCTCGGTGCCATAGACTTTTCGATAAAGCAAATTGTAATCGTGCAGAAGTGTTTTTGAGCACTGCTGCACATCGTAAATGTAAACTGGATGTCGTTTCTGCAGCACGAAAAATTTCAATACAACGATGCCGGTGTATCCATGAAAAAGCAGAGGAATGTGCAGAGGAGAAGCGTGATAAATTATAAACTGCATAAGAAATGGTCTTGTAATGGTTATTGCACAGATCCGATGCTGAGCACTTCAACCGTCCCTCGGGTTACTGCTTACTGCACAACAATTCATTAGCATACATACGCAAATAAATATTGAACTACACATTCATTGTTGATTACTTTTCCGTAAACGAATTGTGAATTTGCATATTTTAGTTTGTGATACATAGTTGCAGAGGCATTATTTATGTATGTAAATGTCAACATGAGTGCATGTGCATCCTTTGTTTGTTCGCATAAACTATTACAATTCAATCAAATTTCATTTTTTGTGGAATTGATAAAAATAAAAAAGAAATCGATATATGCCAATCATAATATGCACTATCATCAAGGGAGTTGTATGGAGTAATGCCAGAACTGGAATAAAAGCTGGTAGAGATCGAGAGGAATTTATGGGAATGTATCATTCTCAGAATTCACTAGTAAGCTCTCAGAGCTCAACTGTTTTTCAAGGGACTCTTTAATTTGTGCAATTGTGAGAAAATGAAGCAAGAAAATGGAGTAACGTTTTGTTCAGTTGAATTTGATCATTAGTTATTGACGATTCCTCAGGAAGATTCACTTCTATCGCGTCCACACAGAAACTCGCACGAACTCGTTTGTTATGATCAAATTGAGTTCTCAATTCTCAATATTTCCTTTAGGGGAGCAAACTTCAGATCTTCTTGTTCAAAAAACAGTATGGAGTGAGTGAGGATGAATTGAGATTTTTCAACTGCTCCACGATAAGGTTAATAAATGAATCGGATACGATTATAACTGGGAATTTATTTCCGCATATATTAAATGCATGTACAAATAAATGCAGATATTTTCAGTTTGTCTGTGATTAGGTATGAAGCATGCAGAATAATAAGTAGACCATTTACATATATATGTGCATGTAAGTGTGCGGTAGCTAAACGCCGAAGAGGGTCGTTGTTTGGTACTTAGTGGAAGACTGATGATACGGTGAAATGGTCGGATGGTATTAGAGAAATAAGATGATGCTAGTGCAGCAGTAGCAGTAGCATCATTCAAACAAATCACCTGAAAGGCTCGATTCTAAGGCGGTTATAAATTGGTTATGTTATCGTTTTTGGAATCGTTTGTGGTATTGCAATGCAGCTCATCGCAACGCACAAAAGCTCTAAATCAAATGAATCAAGCCATGAAATAAGCAATGCTAAAGCAATTCTCTAACTAAAACTATAACATAACGCATCACATAGCAGTTATCTAAATAAATATGCATCCATCTATTGCATCCTTTTTTGTTGCAGCACCGCTTTCATCCTTAAATCATCCATCTACACCAACCATCCATAACGCATCTCTCGATCACTCTTATCTCGTCTCATTTTTCTTTGTTGTTCGCCTCTTCTCCTTATCTCACTAAGAGTATTCGCGAGACTTCGTTAATCTGCTTGAAAGCCGTTTGAAACTCTTTTGAACACTCAATCCAACCAAATTACAACAATTATTTATGTAAACGTTTCCTATTTAGATTCAATCCCTCATCCAAAAAGAGATCTCAATTAAAACGCATAAATGGGGTAATTACAAAGTTCGGTATCAGCAGGGAATGCATATGACTCTCGGATGGTTTCAACGTTGAATCTGAATAATCAAGCTCTTCAGTAATCGAACATTAACGATTTGAGAGGTTATTTTGTAGCGAGAAACCATCCATAAAACCTTATTTTGATCTATAAGTGCCCCTTTAATCTATTCAATCAAACAGTGCATTAAAATTGATGCCCTCACACACTGGAAACTTTCAATCTGATAGCGACAAATTTCGATGTAGAAACAATAGTGTTGTGTCGCTGAGATACTGAATTAATTGCAAAATCAAATAAGCATGCAAAATAGATCTCAAAAAGAACTGTACATGAAGGAAAAGACTTTTTGATGATCTGCAGTGATATGTTCAGTTGAAAGCCATTCACTTGCTTGGTTTGCACTGGAATGAATTATGCTTGTGCAATTCGTTCTTTTCTAAGCTCAGCACCGCTGGAAATTCACTCAATTTTGATCCGCAGATTTGGTGTAAATGGATGCAATTAGCTGTGACTATCAGATTATAACATCAGTTTTATCAAACGATTCTTCACCAAATGAATAACGTCAATATACTATCCTCGGAATAATTCACTAAGTGTTAATATTGAATGCTTGAAGACAATACTAGGATTTCAGAATTTCGGATTGCTCTCATTCCGTTGCTTTTCGAGGGTTTTCGATCGGGTATATTCACTTTTTGAAGTAATTTGATGTGAAAATTATTTTTTCGATTCGTTTCTAAGCTAAACAAATTACTATCCAATAAGAACGAATAATTAACGTTGTTCTTGCTCTAATCGACTGAAAAACTGATTCACCGTTTCCTCATAATAGTATCATGTTGGTGCTAACAAAACGTTAACATTCATTCATCAGCAACATTCCATTGTTATTATTCAGTATTGTTTGCAAAGTACACATAAAAACCAATCCAAAGATTTTCTCTCACATCAAATTACCGACAACAGCAACAGTAATAAGACTCGTCAGTAATTTTTTCCATGAAAATCAACAACAACATCTCTATTATAGGTGGGAAGAACAACGATATGAACGATAAGAGAACGTGTGGTACTGATTGAAAATTTCAGTGCCTTTCCCACGCGAGTTGACGGTTGAGAAGAAGATGAGTCGTAGCGTTGTGTTGTCGTGGTCTGTACCCGACGATTCACTAACACCCATATCGCAGTACCATGTTTGTTCGGATGGTATCGTTCGTGCTGTGGTGCCAGGCTCATTCAAGTGTAAGGCTCTGATCGAGGATGTCGACCTGTCGAAAGCTGTCAATGTTTCTGTGAGAGCAGTCACAGAGAATGGTCATAGTCCAGATGCGGCTTGTACCATCGCTTTGGGCAAAGGTTATTTCATTTTTGAATGGCATCATTTCATACATCCATCCATGAAACGATCAAGTGTCGATGCAATGACTGTTTACAGATGCTCCGGTGGCACCTCAGCATGTTCGTGTATGGTCAGTTAGTCCAGTTGCTGCTTGTGTCTCATGGTACCCGAGTAATAGCAATGCTGAACATGTGCTTCTGCTCAACGCGGTAAAAGTTGGCGTATGTCCTCCTACTGTCTTTCAGGCAAGCGATTAACAGTCTCTTTATTCAAATGATTATTGCATCATCCACGAAACGAAAGTTTCGTGGATGATGCAATAATCATTTGAAAACGAAACTCAACAGGATTCATGAATGTTTCGCTGTAATGTGTTATTTCTGATTAAACCACTGGGTTACAGGTTTTTTGCTAAAATCTCATACAATGTAACTTCATTCAAACTTCAATGTGAATTAATTCAGCATCTTTCTTAAGGCGCAATTAAATGGTCTTTCCCCGTCGACGATTTATCGTGTTTCGGTTAGGACGAAGCATCCGAAGGCCGTTCTAGAGCAGAGGCCTGTCGAACGATATGTCGACTTCAAAACACTTCCAAAAAGTATTTGATTTCTCTGAATCAAACGCATTATTTTTCTCGATGATCCTTCAACCAACTTCTATTTCAAGTCATTTTTATGACTGTTAAATTGGAATTTGAAAACCGTTGAATGTCAATCGGTTGACGGCTAAAAGCCGATGACTNAAGTCATTTTTATGACTGTTAAATTGGAATTTGAAAACCGTTGAATGTCAATCGGTTGACGGCTAAAAGCCGATGACTCTATCTGAAAATGATGGCAATGGAAGCGTTTCTGCAACTGAATAGTAGCTACAATTATTCCTAGTTAAATTTGTGGAATCCAATAGTTGCTCCCTGTGGCTTAATTTAGAAAGTTACAATTTTCTGTTATGGCATCGAAAGAACATGCTTAAAGTTGGTGAAAATCACAGCAACTGAACATACCATCTGTAATATCGAAAACTTTAGAAACAAGTGTACTTGATGAATAAATACAATACTAATTAAATATTTGATTCTCGTAATCGCATTAAGGCGAAGTTGAATGAGATTTCAATGCACCAATACGTAGAGTACAGCATTTGATGAAAATCTACTGAACAGTTTTTTTTCACAATTCTCAACTACATCTGAGAATTTTCTTCACAAGTCCAATCTTCATTCGAAACAAAACCGAACATTTTTCACTAACGATAAGTCTACAGACATTGCTCTTCTCTTCAACTTTCTTCGCTATCTGCAATTGAACATATATTTATTTCTCCATATCAAAGAAGAATAATGCTCACAGTTTGATATGTTGGATGAGTGCAGTATATTATTGGATATTGTCGTTTTGCAGTCGGTCTTCCCGATCCTCCGGCAAATGTGCAAGTTGAAATGGGTCCTCAGC